GCTCTCCACCCGCCTCTGCTTGGAGATGTTGAACCCCCCGATGTACTTGATGGAGTACAGCCCGCTCATGAGCACCTGGGTCGGCGACGACGGAAATGGGCGTGCTCTTGAAGGTCACAGTTGGCGGCATCATCGGCAGCAGCATACATACGCGTGCGCCCTCTCTCGCTTTAAGGTCACAATTGGCAGAAGGTATCCTTGGCAACAGCATGCCAAATATGAGCGCTCGCTCTCAAGGTCACAATTGGCCGCCGCATCACCGGCAACCAACATTCATCGCGCGTGGTTTTCTTTGGCCTGGAGCCGGCGGTGTATGGACGCGTTCCCTCGACGTCAAGTCAGTCCTCTCCGCGGCCTCAACGACTACCGCAGGTTGCGTAGGACATCACGCCCCCTGGACCGAGCTTCGAAACCCGATCACTCTGCAGCACGACCAGTTTCAACGGTGCTGAAATGGTGGCGTTGGAACCGCCTCGCCGATAGGTTTCCGAAAACGAATCATTGCATCATGCATTAGCCTGTCACCGCGGGAATCGACCGCGTCAGGTGTTGGATCAGTACGGACATACCAAGGTCCTGGGTAGAGAGAGATCGGAACGGTTATTAATGTGAAGACAGCAAAACAACAACAACATCCTCTTCGGGGTGCGGAAGTGTAACCGAGCGTTGCCTGGGGTGTGATCTACGGTAGGCTGGTTTCCGCTTGATTCGCTCACTAGAGACACGCAACAGCAACAACAACAACAAATAATCACGTACCCGCCAAGGGGACTTGGGGGCGCAGCAGTGTGCGTGGCATCGTCACCAGAGAGGAACGTAACAGACAACGACAGTGCTAAACCGAATAAAGAAGAGCGCGCCATTCAAGCGTGAGTCTCGCAATTCAATCGCCACCCGACCCCAGCATCCTCGCGCGAATCCCACCATCCGTGAGGCTTGAGTGTAGCTACTGCTGCAAGAAGGTTTCATAAACTTTTTACAACGAGTCTGAAATGAAAAAAAGGCGGGTTGCTCCGGTGGGGGCCACGCGTGATGATCATACCTGTTGGAGCAGGGACGTGGCGGCGTACCCGTACCGCTGGAACTGCGCTTCCCCCTGCTGCGTGCTGCGGTCCAACAGGACGGGCCACAGCTCCGTAACGAGTTCCAGCTGAAAAATAAAATAAAAATAGAGGGACAAAAATAAACAAGCAGCAAGAGGAACCAGTGAAGAAGAGCAGGGTCTGGAAGTAGGTTCCACCCCCATTGTTATGATATGGTGCCGACCTTGACGTTTGATGGGTACGGTACATAAGTCCAGGCTGGGGAACCCCCCCCCTGCTGGCCCGCAGGGGATAGACGGGGCTCGACGCTTATGTCTGCATCACACGGCGTGGATGCGGCACATCAATTTCACAACTAGCGCGAGCTTTCGAAAGCTCAGAAACGAACACTAAACGAATGAAGACATAAACCATCGATTGTGAGGTGTGTGTCTGTGCGTTCGAGTCGCTGTATCATGAACCTCTGAGTGTCGTGCATTTCGGAGACACAAAAGAGAGCGAACGCATCCTTCGCCCGAAAACTGCAACAAAATTCCAAAACCATTGATTGAGTGAATTCGCAAGGCGGAGGTGGGGTCGAGGGGTATACAGAATCATCCATACCCAACGGCTTTGAGGCCGTACAGTAGCCCCCCGGATCTAGAGAGAGGGGGGAGGGGGCGTACCCATGCTTTGCATGGCGTTGTTCAACACTCCCACGGGACCGATGGCCAATTGTTCCTTCCTACTTTGCTATTGGGGGGGG